CTTGTTTTTTAATGCAGCATAGTATTCCATTGTGCGAATATACCACAGCTTCTCTAGCCATTCGTTTGTTGATGGGCACTTAGGTTGTTTCCAAAAGGGAACAAAAGGAAACTAATCCAATATGCATAGTTTAATACAAAGCTACCCTCACCAAGTATTTTATAAACAGGGTTTAAGACTTTTTTTTTTTAAGTTCCAAGTACGTTACTTAAAAGTTCTTTAAAAAACTAAAACAGATGAGTTTTCAATAAAGTTCACAGTGTTTATGAACTCAGTTGGGAGCATGGAAAAGAAATCGTTTCTAGGGTCTCCTACTACATTTAAAAGATATTGTACATTACACTGACACTGAGAATAACACATTATCTTAATGTAATATCTAGCCAAAAATATCAGTGTAAAAGAACCAGAACCATCATGAACATTTGGTCAATAGTAGCCAATATTACGTTTTGATAGTTGTGGCTGTTAGGAGCTGTGCAGACAACTACAACACATAGTAATCCAATGAACGAGAAGTTAGCATTTAGCTTCTATCCTGTGCCATCCTCCCTATGTCTTCTATGCATCAGCCAATTGTTACAGTCACTGTCATCCCTCTCTTTGATGCTCACCTTCTCTTTCACTGACCTCTATCTTTCCCAGCATGATATCTTTCTGCCAAAACTGGTCCCTCCTCATAACATACCCAAAGAATCTGAAGTTTCATTCACCTGCTTGCCTCTTAAGGAACACTCTACTTGCAATACCTCCTAGATAGATCTGTTTGCTCTTTTGACAGTCCATGTGATAGTTTGCCATTGTTATTGTTAGGTACCGTCAAGTACAAACCATTCTGACCCTATGGCCAACAGATCAGAACCCTGACCTGTCCTGTGCCATCCTCATATTTCCTGACACAAGTCTATTAGTCCATTGTGACAGTAACCATGTCATTCTACCTGATTGAGGGTATTTCTCTCCTTCGGTGATCCTCTACCTTTCTGAACATCATGTCCCTCTCCAAGGAATAGTCTGTTCTAGCAACATACCTGAAGTATATGAGGTGACATCTCACCGTCTTTTCCTCCAAAGAGTATTCTGGCTGCACCAAGTCTTAACTATTCATTTGACAGTCGATGTGATGTTCAAAGCTCTACTGTAGTTCTTATACATTGTCCAGTTCTCAGATGCATAGCAAGTGATCAGAAAGACTATGGTATGAAATAGATGCACCTTAGTCCTCAAACTGCTATTATTACTCCTCAATAATATGAAGGGGTCTCTAACTGCAGACTTTCTAAGTGCAGTATATCTCCTCATTTTCTGACTTCTGGTTCCAAGGGTGTTAATTGTGAATCCAGGTAACATGACATTGTTGATAGTTTCAATTTTTTAACCATCTATCATGATTTGGAGGGAGACTCATCAATAACCTGCATTATGCAAATGACACAACTGTGCCTGCTGAAAGTGAGGAGGACTTAAAGCACTTGTTGCAGAAGATCAAGGAATGCAGCTCTTGGTATGGATTGCATCTCAATGTTGGGAAAATAAAGATTCTTATCACTGGAGTGATAAGCAGTGTCATGATGGTGGAGAGGAGATTGAAACTGTCAACAGCTTCATCTACTTGGGTCCACAATTCACACCCTTGGTAACAGTAGTCAGGAAATTAGATACATTGCACTGGGGAAAATCTGCAGTTATAGGACCTTTCCAAATTATTGAGGAGTAGTGATGTCAGACTAAGGTGTGTCTGATCCAGGCCATAATCTTTCAGATTACGTGCTATGCTCCCAGAGAGCTGGACAACAATTAAGGATGACAGAAAAAGAATTGACACCTTTGAGCTGTGATGTTGAAGAAGAGCACTGAACATTCCACGGATGGCCAAGAGAACGAAAAGATATGTCTTGGACAGGATGCAGCCAGAGTGCTTTTCGGAAGCAAGAATGATGAGGCTTTGCCTTACATACTATGGACATGTTGCTAGGAGTGATATTCCTTGGAGAAGGACAAGATGCTGGGAAGGGTGGAGTGTGAGCAAAGGAGAGGAAGACTGCTACAATGGGCTCTTGTGTGTCAGGAAGCGTCAGGATGGCACAGGCTAAACCAGGGTTCAGGTCTTTTGTTCATAGGGTCATTATGAATTATGCTTGACTCAACGGCACCTAACAATGACAGCAACAACAACATCACGATGCTGCCTATCAGTCCAGTGGTAAGAATCTTTAT